TAGTGGCACCAGGGAGTTGGTGGACTTTTGAACAGAGGCATGGCATGTTAATGATGGTATTTAAGGAAAATTAGTTGGGCAAGGGCAAGATCAGAGGGTTCACCTAGGAGTATGTTCTTTATGTACACAGTTGCTCTCCCTGAAACACTGGTCCCTCCAACAGTCTGTCCCATGGACTTCCTCCCCGAGCTCAGACCCAGCTCCTGGGCACACACTCCACTGAGCCAGAAGCCTGTCCTGTGTTTGTGACTGTGACCTCCTACTGGAATGGTAGTGGCTTCTCATCTCCACATCCCAGCACGTCTCCCACACTTCTCAGGGGTTAGGTATCCAGGGAGTACTAGTATTTGCCCAGCACTCACTGGTCCAGAGAGGGGAGGGAATGCAGACTTCCACCAGGAACTGGAGTGGCAGGTTGCTACCTGCTGCTGCTCAGAGTGTGGGTAACGGGCAGCAGCAGCAGCAGCAGCAGCACCTGAGAGCTTATTAGACACGCAGGTCGTCACCCCAGACCGACTGAGTCAGAACGTGCATTTTAACAAGATCCCCAGGTGGTATAGGCACTTTAAGTTTGAGTTTAAAAAGCTCCACGTCTCATTAAGATTGTCCCTTCCCACAGGGCAGGGATGCGGCTGTGAAATCTTGAGTCCGCTCCTCTGGGCTATGTCTAGCACAGTGGGTGCATGGCCAGTGCTGGAGTGAGTCCCCACGCTGGTCGCCCTAAAGCAGCACCAGTGGGAGCAGCTGGAAGGGCTTTCCTCCCCTGTGGCTTTGATCTAACCATCACCAGAAGAGCAGCCGCAGAGGAGTTACAGTTAGACTTGAGATCCCAGGCACAGAGAGACAGCAGCAGCAGGTGGTGTTTTGCCTCTGACCTTGTGTGTGTGGCACAGGACAGGACAGCTTCCGTGAACACGGCCACAGGGCTCTGCTCATCTGGCTGCATGGGGCCCTGATGATGCAGGCCGCGCCGGTCAGGCACCCGTACGAAGAGCTGGTCCGCGCAGGTTTCCAAGAACTAGCTGGTGAGTGACAGTTTTCAATAGACTGACACTCCTGGTCCCTTGAAATGTTAGGGGACCATTGGCAGAGACACTGCCCTGAACAGCAACGGTCCCAGCTTGGGATTCACTGGGGCCCAGTCAGCATAGGCAGCTTCTTTGGTGAGTGACTCAATGAGTACTTGTTCTGTTTTTTTCAGTCCTCAGTGTTAAGTGGGCATTTGAAAAAGTACAGGAGTATTTTTGTCTA